GGAATCAAGCCATCGCCCAACATGCCCACATCTTTATCCAGCCGGCTCGCACCGGATGAAATTTAAAATGTAAACTCTCCATGAGCAATCCAAATGCCCCCATTATATCAAAAGCTTAATTTTAGATGGCTTTATCTGAATACTTGTCTGCATGAGTTAATATTTTTCAAAACTTTTTAACATAGTCATGCACAAATACTCTCATCAGCTATAAGAGCATCTGTACAGGGGGGCATTATTGTGGGTAATTGTATCAAGCTCAATACGTGGCAAGCCCTACAGGTGCCACATCACCAAAACCCCACCCACGTGGCAGACCAATAAGGCACCACGTCGGGCATGTCGTATGTTTACTACATTGCGAGCCTTACGGGCGTCATGTGCCAAGGCAACCAAAACTATATGCTTAGCCTAAGCGGGAGCATACATATAAGCCCAAATATATCTAGATATGAAGAGCCCTGCAACAGGCAGCACCATGGCCCCAGGGCTGATTTTACCCCAATCCGGTCCAATCCGAACCATGCTCACCCCTACTTCATACCTAGCTCCAAGGCCAAACAACAATACAATTAGCCCCCGGCTCGCTTGTACTTGGATTGATAAACAATGGCTCTCCTAAACATTGAGATAGGCCTGCAGCCCATTCTCTTACTTGATCGCTAAGCAGGTCCCTCTCTTAAACATTGAGCTAAGCCCGCGGCCCATTCTCCTACTTGGTCACTTGGAAGCGAGCCCTTGGCTCTCTTAAACACTAAGGTGGGCCCTGGCCCATTTATCTACTTGGATGCCTGGGTTGGGAGCAGGACCCAGGCACTACTGCTCGGGATCATCAGAGGATACTGGACTGGCGGCTGAGGTCATGGGATCGTCGAGATAGTTGTCTTCTTGCTAAGACAACTCTATCTTGACCAGGCTTGGAGAAGAGGCAACAATGACCTTACGTTCATGTCATCCGATGCATATACGAAACGTTACTTTCTGCCTGCCACGAAACGTTGCTCTCCGCCTGCCGGCAAGCCACAGACGGCAGAAGGGCTTATATCACTTCTGGCAGAGTTGAGGAGAACGAGCCACCTGTCCAACAGTTTGCTTGGGCTCCAATACTCTTGCGGCCTATATAACGTATTGTATATGCAGCGAGACACAACAACAACAATACAACCAAGTTCCATGCTAAAACACTCCCTCATACTTTATATTAGTGTTCAAAGGTCTATCACTGCCAACCTCTCCCTCTCCAAGCTTGCCTTGACCTCCTCCTCTCCACCTCCGGTGATCCCAAGCCATCGAAGTGCCCGCCATCTTCCCGGACTACATCTAACCACACCTCTCACCCACATTATACTCTGCTGGGGAAGAGTGGTGCTCGCTTCGCATGGCACCCAAAAAGAACACTGGAACTGGAGTAGCGACGTCCCAAGGTGGCGGTAGGGAGATCCTGGTGGAGACCTCGGAACATAACTCCGGTGGCTCTCCGGAAGAACAATCCTCCCAACCGGTTATAACAAATCAGCTACGTATATTGACTGAGAGCGTCACCTCCCTTCAACAGAACCAACAACTCTTAATGGACGCTATGCTGGCCTTACAAAGGGCACCTACGCTCCCATCATCATCTAACCCTCCTACATCATCTCAAAATGGCGTTCTGCCATTACCCGAAAATGGCTCAGAAGCCAACCTCGCTACGCAAAACGACTCGCGAACCCAAGCGAGAGGACAAACAGCCCCCCCGCTCCCTCCATTAGCTCCCAGCCAGACACCCCCACCACATGTTGGGTCCATTAGTGGAGCTCCCATCGCAGTGGCTTCGACTGGCTCCCCAGCTCTTCCGGCAAATCAGAACCCTTCCCAGCCATTAACGTTGGAGGTCGTAAAAGAGCACATACATAGCCTACTTCAGACAAACAAAGGTCACATCCCTACCTCCCCAGAATTGGATCTCCGTCCTCCTTACCCTATTCACATCGCAAGTCTTCCATATCCGGCGGGATATACAGTACCCAAGTTTGTTCGCTTCGACGGACGAAAAGGGAACGCCAGAGAGCATGTTTCACGCTTTCTTGACGCCCTTGGAGCTCACCGAGAAGACCGAAACCTCCGCATGAGAGAATTCTCCAAATCTCTCACAGATCGAGCATTCTCGTGGTATGCTAACCTCGCTGCTAGCTCTATTTCTTCATGGGAAGACTTGGTAAAAAAGTTTTACATTAAGTTCTTCTATGTTGAAGAGAGGTTAACCACCCTTCATCTTATGAGGGAAACACAACGACTTGGGGAGGACATCCTCGTTTACGTCCGCCGTTTCAGGGAAAAAGCAGTAGACATTCAAGACCCAATGGAAGAACACCAACTGGTATCATTGTGCATTGAAGGAATGATCACGACTTATAAACTCCAGCTGGTCAACCACCACTTCCCTGACTTTTCCGCTTTATGTGCTGCGGCCCGAAACATAAGTGAAACAGTAAGATCAGGGGCACGAATGACAGCACCGCAACCCCACTCATGGCGACCAACAGTACCTCAACCTTCCTCATGGAGGCCTAACCGACGCAACCACGCTGTGTATGCAGCCAAGGGCTCCTTTTGGGGAAGAGAAGACCCGCAGGCAAAAAAGAGAAAGTTCGATCAAATTCCCCCACCATTACCTATCTCAGTGAATGAGGCACAGGCACTCCTCAATGCCTGGGTGGAAGATGGAAAAGTTCAACTTCCCGAGCCAAGGCAACCTATTAACAAAAAGGATCAAGCGCGGGCAGACTATTGCATATACCATCGTTCTGTTAAACATCCTACTACGGAATGCTGGGCACTCAGATCCTTAGTTCGAAAGATGATGTCTGAAGACGCTTTGGAGTTACCTCGCCAAACAGAAGATGTCTTGAAAGATCCTCTCCCGCGCCATAAGGATAATGGCAAGACGGTCATGATGCTTTCGCATTATGACGAAATGGAAGAGCCAATGGTGTGCGAGCTCACTGAACTCCCAGCTCCCACTTGTCCGGACTTTGAGACTAGACGTGTGATAGCACTTAAGAAATCGACAAAGTTCAAATGGTTCTTCGACCAATTCGGCCTGTCTGAAGCAACACGCTTTGAAGCCACCAAGGCCTTTTAAGACTTGCAGAGCAGAATGGTGAAACGTGCATGAGCGTAAGCGGATCAGTAAGAAAAGTATTTCGGGATAACTCCTTGGCAATAACCTTTACCGAGGCCGACAAACAAGTACCATTTCCACATAACCGTCCCCTATACGTCCCAGTATTCATCAATGGGATGGAGTTTCAAAGAGGATTCATGGATGGAGGAGCTTCACTCAACGTGATGCCTTATTCTACTTTCCAGGCGGCCGGGATCCCACAAAAGCACTTAGTCAGACAACCCATCTCCATCACCGGCTTTGGAAGCCAAAAAATTAAAACCATAGGTCATGTCCAGTTAGACTTAGTAGTGGGACCGATTCGCTCTACTACTAAGTTTCATGTTATAGAAGCAGAGACGACCTATCAGGCTCTCCTAGGGAGAACTTGGCTTCACAGATATGCTGCGATTCCGTCCACCTACCATCAATGTGTCAAAGCAATCTACAACAATGAAGTAGTAGCCGTAGCTGGCTCTCAAAAGCCTTTTCGAGTAGATGAAGCTTACATGGCAGATGCAGTATTTTACAATCATGTCGACGAAGACGAACCTCCCCTGCCACTTCGAGGAACTCCTGTACCTGACTGGGATGACTTCTCTGAACAAGGTTCATCACCACCTCGTAGAAAGACGTTCACCAAATCAGAGCCCTCAAGAAAGCTCCCTAGAGTCACCAGGATTCAAACAAAAGATGGTAGAGTGATATACCGCTTATGACGGTGCGAGGGGTTGACAACTGTTACCAATGCCGACCCCCAGCTAGCGACGTAGCAATTGTCCATCGTGAACTAAGTGGAGAAGATCATTGTTGCTACACCTTGTCTGCGCTGGCCCAACGCTCGCCAATGGAAAAGAAGAAAAAAAGTAGAGACAAGAAGAGCAGAAAGAGAAAAAAAGTTGTGGCTTTCCCAGCAACGGATAAACGCTCTGACAAATCCCATTGTCCTGCGGTAACTCATTTGGATGGAGCCGAAGGCTCAAAAGTTAAACCCCTCAAGGCAGCCATTTCATCTCCTAACCAAGTCCCCGCCAAGCAAGATGGATTGCAAGAAGTCCGACCTGCTCCAGAGTGTTTACAGGATGGTCCTAGGCCCCAAAAACAAGAACTGGAAGAAATCAACATAGCCTCTGAAGGAGAACCCAGGCGTCCCATCTTCATTTGCAAAGATCTCCCAACAGAACAGAGGGGGCCCCTCATCGAGTTGATTAGAAAATATTCGGACGCTTTCGCATGGACATATGAAGAAATGCCAGGATTAGATAAAGATGTTACCATGCACCGTCTGAACGTCATCCCCCTGGCTCGCCCAGTCAAGCAAGGAGTAAGATTTTATAAGCCCGAGGTGGAGCTCAACATCAAGGACGAAGTGGTGAAGTTGCTTGGAGCAAGGTTTATCAAACCCATCCAACATCCCACCTGGCTTTCTAGTATTGTCCCAGTTATCAAAAAGAATGGTCAAATTCGAGTGTGCGTCGATTTCAGAGATCTAAACAAATCTTGCCCCAAAGATGAGTTCCCATTCCCAAACATAGACACCTTGATTGATTCAGCGGCGGGTCATCATATGTTCTCATTCATGGATGGCTTCAGCGGCTACAACCAGATCAAGATGGCTCCAGAGGATGCCCCAAAGACAGCATTTCGCACTCCTAGAGGCAACTTTTTCTATACTGTAATGCCTTTCGGGCTGAAAAATGCGGGAGCAACATACCAGAGAGCTATGACAGCCATTTTTCATGATATGTTGCACAAGTCCTTGGAATGTTACATTGATGATTTGGTGGTGAAATCCAAAGAGGAGACTAGTCACCTCAAAGGCCTCCAAAAAGTTTTTGAACGTTGTAAGAAATACAGACTCAGAATGAACCCGCTTAAGTGCGCATTCGGAGTCACTGCCGGCAAGTTCCTTGGCTGTATCGTTCATCGCCATGGGATAGACCCCGACTCAGCAAAGGTCGCCGCCATAAAAAATATGCCATGACCAACCAGTCTAGACGAGTTGAGAACCTTCCTTGGTCGGGCATCCTACTTGAGACGGTTTATCCCAGCTATGGCCGAAATAACACAACCCTTCAATTCATTACTGAAGAAGGATGTCAGGTTCATTTGGAATAAGGAACACCAACAAGCATTTAAAGGAGTGAAATCAGCTTTAACATCCCCTCTCTCCATGACTCCTCCTCAGCCGGCGAGGCCCTTACTCCTCTACATCACTTCCACGCCGAAATCAGCCGGCGCTCTGCTCGCCCAGGAAATTGATGGACTTGAACGGCCCGTGTACTACATAAGCAGAGTCATCCAAGGGGCTGAGGTCCGATATTCCCCCATTGAACGACACTGTCTAGCCCTAGTGTTCACAGCCAAAAAGCTCCGCCATTACCTTCTTTCTTATCTCATCCATCTCATGACCAGGAGTGATCCTATCCGCTTTCTCCTCACTAGACCAGCGCTCTCCGGCAGGCCAGCTCACTGGCTCCTATCATTAGCAGAATACGACATCACTTGCAAAGCTCCCAAGGCCATCAAGAGTCAAGCGCTTGCCGACCTCTTAGCTCACTTCCCTAGTGGAGAACATGAACCGCCTTCGGATGAATTGCCAGGTGATGAGTTCCAAGCAGCTGAAGTAAACACCGAAGGAGAATGGAGTTTGAGTTTCGATGGATCGTCCACCTCTAAAGGGGGAGGAGCTGGAATAGTCCTTGTTTCCCCAAATCAAACCGAAGTCAATTTGTCATATAAACTAGATTTTAAATGCTCTAACAACGAAGCAGAATACGAAGCCTTGATATTAGGGCTTATGGCAGCACTCGACCTAGGAGTAAGTCTCCTATGTATCAAAGGCGACTCTAATTTGGTGGTCAAGCAGACCAATGGAGACTATGCTATCAAAGAGCCGCCTTTAGCCTCGTACAGAACCATTGTCCAAAGGTTGACAGACAAATTCGACATGGTAAGGATAGAACACGCTCCTCGCTCCAACAATCGACACCCAGACGCCCTCGCTACCTTGGCTTCTAAAGTAGAATTTGCGGAAGAATCAACTAAGATAGAAGTACTGAAGCGCTCCATGCCGTGCTCGGTAACAACTATTTTTCCTGAAAAAGAACCCGCCGACTGGAGAGCCCCAATCATCGATGAGCTCCGCGCCCCCTCAGGTAAACTACCTTTGTGCGAAATCAAACACTTCACGATTTACTAAGGAGTCCTCTACTACAGAGGGCCTGGGGGTCTGCTAGCACGATGCATCGACTTTGCCGAAGCCAAGTCTAAGCTAGAAGGGGTTCACGATCGTTCTTGCGGAACAGGAGACGTGAGCCTCTATAGGAGGCTACAACGACAGGGATATTATTGGCCTACTATGGCCAAAGAAGCAAACGACCTTCAGGGAAAATGCACCAAATGCCAGGAATTCCCTCCAAAAGCTGAATGCAATTTCGCAGAAATCACCTCCGACTGGCGTCAGGTGTATATAGATTACCTCAAAGAAGCATCATTGCCGCCAGATCGCTCTGCAGCAGCAATAATCAAGAAGCGAGCTTCGAAATTCTTTTTGCACGAAGAAGAGGAGACTAGTCACCTCAAAGACCTCCAAAGAGTTTTTGAACGTTGTAAGAAATACAGACTCAGAATGGACCCGCTTAAGTGCGCATTCGGAGTCACTGCCGGCAAGTTCCTTGGCTGTATCGTTCATCGCCATGGGATAGACCCCGACCCAGCAAAGGTCGCCGCCATCAAAAATATGCCACGACCAAGCAGTCTAGACGAGTTGAGAACCTTCCTTGGTCGGGCATCCTACTTGAGACGGTTTATCCCAGCTATGGCCAAAATAACACAACCCTTCAATTCATTATTGAAGAAGGATGTCAGGTTCATTTGGAATGAGGAACACCAACAAGCATTCGAAGGAGTGAAATCAGCTTTAACATCCCCTCTCTCCATGACTCCTCCTCAGCCGGCGAGGCCCTTACTCCTCTACATCACTTCCACGCCGAAATCAGTCGGCGCTCTGCTCACCCAGGAAATTGATGGACTTGAACGGCCCGTGTACTACATAAGCAGAGTCATCCAAGGGGCTGAGGTCCGATATTCCCCCATTGAACGACACTGTCTCGCCCTAGTGTTCGCAGCCAAAAAGCTCCGCCATTACCTTCTTTCTTATCCCATCCATCTCATGACCAGGAGTGATCCTATCCGCTTTCTCCTCACTAGACCAGCGCTCTCCGGCAGGCCAGCTCGCTGGCTCTTATCATTAGCAGAATACGACATCACTTGCAAAGCTCCCAAGGCCATCAAGAGTCAAGCGCTTACCGACCTCTTAGCTCACTTCCCTAGAGGAGAACATGAACCGCCTTCGGACGAATTGCCAGGTGATGAGTTCCAAGCAGCTGAAGTAAACACCGAAGGAGAATGGAGTTTGAGTTTCGATGGATCGTCCACCTCTAAAGGGGGAGGAGCTAGAATAGTCCTTATTTCCCCAAATCAAACCGAAGTCAATTTGTCATATAAACTGGATTTTAAATGCTCTAATAACGAGGCAGAATACGAAGCCTTGATATTAGGACTTATGGCAGCACTCGACCTAGGAGTAAGTCTCCTATGTATCAAAGGCGACTCTAATTTGGTGGTCAAGCAGACCAATGGAGACTATGCTATCAAAGAGCCGCCTTTAGCCTCGTACAGAACCATTATCCAAAGGTTGACAGACAAATTCGACATGGTAAGGATAGAACACGCTCCTCGCTCCAACAATCGACACCCAGACGCCCTCGCTACCTTGGCTTCTAAAGTAGAATTTGCGGAAGAATCAACTAAGATAGAAGTACTGAAGCGCTCCATGTCGTGCTCGGTAACAACTATTTTTCCTGAAAAAGAACCCGCCGACTGGAGAGCCCCAATCATCGATGAGCTCCGCGCCCCCTCAGGTAAACTACCTTTGTGCGAAATCAAACACTTCACAATTTACCAAGGAGTCCTCTACTACAGAGGGCCTGGGGGTCTGCTAGCACGATGCATCGACTTTGCCGAAGCCAAGTCTAAGCTAGAAGGGGTTCACAATCGTTCTTGCAGAACAGGAGACGTGAGCCTCTACAGGAGGCTACAACGACAGGGATATTATTGGCCTACCATGGCCAAAGAAGCAAACGACCTTCAGGGAAAATGCACCAAATGCCAGGAATTCCCTCCAAAAGCTGAATGCAATTTCGCAGAAATCACCTCCGACTGGCGTCAGGTGTATATAGATTACCTCAAAAAAGCATCATTGCCGCCAGATCGCTCTGCAGCTGCAATAATCAAGAAGCGAGCCTCGAAATTCTTTTTGCAAGAAGGGCAACTTTTCAGGCATGGTTTTCACGGGAAGCCTTTACGCTACTTATCGGGAGCAGAAATCCATAAAGTTTTAGAACTTGCTCATGGGTCGGAGCACCAAGGAAGAGCCAAGCTATTCCAACATCTTTTGCATATAGGTTATTATTGGCCCACCATGGAAGCGGACGCCAAAATATATGCCAAACGCTGCAAACCTTGTCAAGTCCATGGTAACCTTATTCACGCATCAGCCACTGATCTGCATAGTTCGAGCTCACCATGGCCTTTCCATACATGGGCTATGGATCTTATTGGCCCCATCTCTCCACCGTCAAAGGGACACATATGGACCGTAGCGACCACGGAGACTTACACTAAGTGGGTAGAATCCATCCCCCTGAAGAAGGCAACAGGAGCCGCTATCTCCAATTTCATTCGAGAATTCATTATATGTCGTTTTGATATTCCTAGAGTAATCCTGTCGGATAACGGGACCCCTTTTGTCAACCGCCAAGTGGGGAAACTCTTAGTCTCCTACGACATCACACACCATAAATCAACGCCTTACTACCCCCAGGGCAATGGACAAGCTGAAGCAACCAACAAAACACTCCTTAGAATCCTTTCAAGGACTCTCAACGATTATCAAAGGGACTGGGCACATGTGCTTCCAATGGCACTCTGGGCATACAGAACATCCAAAAGAAGACCAACTCAAATGACTCCATTTTCATTGGTATATGGCACGGAAGCCATCCTTCCAGTGGAAATTGCCATACCATCAGCTCGCATGGCCCTCCGAAGCGGAACTAGCCCGTACTCCAGGCCGTCAGAGCTGGAAGTCCTTGATAAAAGAAGGGACAAGGCACAGACTAATCTTAGAGTTTACCAGAGCCGTATAGCTAAAGCTTATGATACTCTGGTACGTCCAAGACAGTTCCAAGAAGGTGATTTAGTGTTGCGGGCTGCACCTCACGTCATGAGGGGAACATCAACTCACAAGTTCACACCCAAGTGGCAGGGTCCTTTTGTAGTAAGGGAAGTCAATGAAAATGGCTATTACAGAATTTCTGAGCCTGATTCTCAAACCCTCTTAAGCCCCATCAATGTGAAATGGTTGAAGGCTTACTATCCTTAGAAATTACCCATTACTGTATGATGTACTACACCAAGATGTATCATTTGGGCTTCTTCAATGAATATCGTCCTTTTTTCACACTTATTCTAACTATAATCACAAATAATAAAAGATGACGCTTTAACTCGAAAGTCAGCTCCATTAAGTAGTTGAAGATTTTCAATTACAAAAAAAAGGGAGGCCCAAATCTCCAACATACAAAAAAGTTTTAGACTATAAAGCTATCATATGCTATAAAGTTATCATATGCTACAAAACTATGATCCAACTAAGTCAAGACTCTGGAAGCTTGATCTTCTTCTTCTTCACCCGCCAATCTTGCTTCAAGAATCGCTTTCTTTTCTCTCAAGCTAGAAGACGCCAATTCTGCTTCATTCAAAGCTTTCTGTGCTCGCTCAAAAGATAGCTTACATTCCTCCTCCACTCGCACAGCAACAACCAAAGCCTTATCTACTTCGCCTAGCTCAGCCTTGATCATCCTTCTCCTGACCCGGGATTCAAGAAGAGATAACCAATCATCCAACCAACCCACCTCCAATCTGTTAATCCGGCCATCTCAAAATTCGCCCAAAACAGCACGTTGGGCCAATACCTCATCAAAAGAAGCTGTCTCTGGGGATAACTTGTAAAGCTCCTTAAGGAATTCTCCAAAACCATCCAAAAAATAAGTCCGAAGATAAGAGCTACCCAAGTGCATGAAAATGGTCGGTTTATAATGAAGAACAAAGAGCAGTCGAGGAAGTAACTCTGCTTTGACCCCGGCAAACAACACAGCTGGATCTAGTAGCTTTTCCTTCCCATCGATCCCCTTAAGAACCACGCTGCCACGGGGAAGATGAATAGGAGAAAAATCTCCATCAGTAGCATGAATGAGGGAATAATCTCCATCAATAGCTGGCAGTGATGGTCTTTGAAGGCTACCCCCAACTAGGCATGCAAACAAGGCACGAGGAGGGAAGGTTAACCCCTCTAATTGTGGACTTCAAAACAAGCTTTTTACCACTGAAAAACCTCTGAAATTCAGTGACCACCTTCAAACAAGCGAGCAATAGGGACACCACCTCCAATCTTGTCCCGCAAAGGAACCAATGCATCCCTAGAACTTGATGTATCTAACAAAGAAGGCCTAGCACTAACCATATCACATCCAACATCGTCTTCAACATCATCTCTTGCCCCCATAACCTCAAGACTCTGATCCGAGCCCTCTTCATCATCCTCTGAATTTTCTACATCGTCCTCAGCACCTATGGGCAAGACTTTATGCCGTGCCAATTTTATTTGACACGCGCCAGCCGACCCCTGCAAACAACACAAGTATTTTAATACAAACGTATTGGAAACGCCACAAACTCACAAATAATTCCAAAGTACAAGATATGAGTTTACCTGTGACGAATCAATGGTGTCAGTCGAGCAACCCCTCGCTTGGCAGGCAGTCCTAGTTTTAGTAGGCGGACCTATACCTCTAATCTGTGGAGGTACTCTCCCAGGCACTGGAACAAGAACGGAGGAAAGGGGTGGCCTTTTACGCTTGGCACTAGATGGTCGGTCAGGAGAAACTATCTGGGATTGTTCCAAAGCAATAGTCACCTTAGATAAACGAGCCAATGGGCTGAGTTCCCCCCTATCTGCAGCTGACAAGGCCCGATCTCCGCGAGCCATACATAACTCAGGGTCATCAGACGGAATGAGCTCAACATGGACAGGATCAAGATCACTACTCAAAAAAGCCCGAAATAATGTAAGATTGCATCTCCAATACTTCTTCCAACTAGGGGTGGTTCCGCCAATTCTACCCTTACTTGCTAGCACAACTCGCCCCCGACGCCTTAATTCTTCTGAAAGAAAAGAGTATACATATAATTGCATACAGTCGGCGGCCGAAGGCGCAGGAGAAGGAAGATGTTCAGGAACCCCTTGGTCCAAACCAAACTATCGAGCAACCCTCAAAGGATGATAGGCCACCACACCGTATGTGCCATCCAGAAAATAAGGTAAATATCCAGAAACGGTGCTAAGAACCATCGCTGAATCCGCATCCCCCAAATAAGACACACCCGGCTCGAGAACAAGCTCGCAATCATCTAGGCGGTAGACAACGGTGGAAGATACTCTACAAACTGGCATAACATAAGGACGAGCAACAAACTTGTCCTCAAAATCAAAAATGCTAGCCAAACTCCCCTGTACACATCCCTCAGCCCACCTAGCAGAACGCGGCTCACTTTCTTCAATGGAAAACACCTTTGGCATAGGGGCCAAGCTAGGAAATCTCTCATACAAAAACAACTGCAGAAAGGTAGTAGGAAGGAAGCTGGTAACATCGTATCGTCCTTTGGAACGATCAACACCCTCCTGATACATATCTAACCTCCTATACAGGCCCCCCCAGAAATAAAGGAGCCAACGGAATCGGACGGCCGGAAGCAAGAATGGTAGCAAGAGGAAAGAGCTCATGGCAAATACCGTCTTGGGGTCTACCCATCAAGACATACCGCGACAACCAATATGTAATGAAAGCAGCCAAATGCTCAATACTCCCCCACCTGTCCCCTTCTATCCCTGGACCTATGAATCCATCCTCCGCATTTCCTTGCACCTGATGGCTAAGATCTCGAAACCAGTACCGAAGCCATCCCCCGAAAGTGTTTTTTGGGCATTTTCGTGATCGAGATGTTACTAACACTTTATTTTGATAACGACTTAATAACTTTCCTGCCGGTGCCACGGCCTCCTCCAATCTCCCAACAATAGCCATCTGGCTAAGGGACAAACTTCCTACGCTAGGGTTCGCTGATCCAAGATGCTCTAACCCCGTCAAAACAACTACATCCTCTAGAGTAGGGGTCGTCTCGCCCCACTGTGCAATAAAAGTATGAGAACTTGAACTCCAACGTGACAATGCGAACTCCAGCCAAGATGGCTCCCGTCTAATTCGCATACACTGAGAAATAGCAGTAGCAATCTTAGCTCCAGCAAGCACCTTACAATATGAGGGATGACGAAAGATAGCTGCGCTCCAGACATCAGAGTCATCTTTAGGCCCCGTATAATCCTCAAAAGCAGGAAAAGAATACGGATAAGTGCCCCTCTCCACATGAAAACGTACGATAGACTCTGGAGGAACAAAAGCTTCAACCCCTTTTTCTGGCTCAACCCCACCCAGAAGGAAATCAGTCGAATCAGTCGGGACACCGCCATTGTCATCAAATAAATCCACCCTCGCCCAAAACAAATCCATGGCACCAAAGAAAGGTGCCCTACACCAATATTCCACTGGAGGGACGTTTGGGGGATCCGTGTCCTTCTTGGCCTTAAAAAGATTCTTCTTGGATTTACCCTCTTTTGACTTGGAAATGCCAGAAGAACCTACTAGTGATTGTTGCGGGCAGCGACGGGACACAACACTTCCCCCTTTTACTTTAGCCATATCACAAAAGCTCGCCTTTCCTGCATCAACACAAGATTCACAAATCAGAAATGTCATTCACTTTTGAGGTGCATTTAAAAAAAAAAAAAAAAAGAAGTTCGGCCTCTTCCCCTCGCACCACTTCTCCCTCGCTTCAATTTTCTTTATTTCACCAAAAATTCTTTTGTTTAAAAAAAAAATAAATAAATAATAAAAAAAAATTGAGTTAAACACAAAACTCATATTTTGAAAATAATCCCCTCCCCTCGCATCACAAAACTCATATTTTGCAACACTCCTTTCCCTCGCATAACAAACTCCCATTTTGAGATACCTCTCTCCCTCGCTAAGGCTAAACCCATATTTTGGATAGCCCTTTCCCTCGCATAACAAAACCCATATTTTGGGATAGCCCCTTTCCCTCGCATAACCAAACCCAT